GTACTTGAAGCAACGTCTCCCAGGCTGTCCCAGCCACTATACCTGCAAGGGTCCTAAGCCATGGCCCAGCCTGGAGCCAGGCACCTTCCCTGGGACTCTGTCAGCCCAGATCTGGCCAGCCTGGCCCCACGTGCCTCCCATGAAGGCCACCCCATGGTCTGAAGGGCATGAAGCATCTCAGACTCCTTGTCAGAAGGAAGAGAAGTCTGCAGGCTGCTGGCGTCGTGAGTACCACCTGTTCCTACAAGGTCTGTGTGGTCCAGGGGCTGCAGCCCTGACCCCAAACTCTCCACTCTGCCATTAGGGCAGTGGCCCCCGAGCTGGTCGTGGCATGGCAGCTGGCAAGGCCACAGCCGGGCTGCTGCCTCCGATATGATTAAAGCATTGTCTGTGCACGTGCTGCAGTGTCCTGGTGCCATGTGTCTGAGGAGAGAGTGCAAGGGCAGGGAGTGAGGAAGGGGGAGACACCCCTAGAGCAGGAGAGGAGGGTATCTGAGCCATCTCCCGGGCATTGGGGGAGTGACGCCGGCAGTGGCAACATTGACTACTACTTCTGGAGCACCTACTTGCTAGACACTGTCTTGCACAAATCTATAAGGTTGTTGACATTTTTGTTTTCATTTCTGCTTTGCATATAAGGAAGCTGATGCTCAAAAAGGGAAAGTGACTCACGCATGGTCACAGACAAGACATGGGTCGTGAGTCACACAGACCTGGCCTGGGGTGGCCTCCCAGCTCCTCCATTAAAATACTGAAAATTGCACGTTTCGATGATTATTATGGTCACATGGCAGAATCCTGATTCAACTGGAGGCCAGGACCTTGGAGCTGGAGTCTCATTCCCTGCCATTCACCAAGGCACAGCCAGGGTACTGCCCCAGGTCTACTACACCAGGTGCCTGAGAGGACAGGGTGACACACCCAAAGTCCTCCAAGCTGCAGATTAAACATGTATCTCTTTCCTAGAGCACCAGCTTCATATATTTAGGGTCTGATTCGGGAGGAGAAATAGGTGATTTAAAACGTTCTTTTACATTGAAACAAACATGGGGCCGGGCGTGGTGGCTCACGCCTGTAATCCTAGCACTCTGGGAGGCCGAGGCGGGCAGATTGCTTGAGGTCAGGAGTTCGAAACCACCCTGAACGAGACCCTGTCTCTACTAAAAATAGAAAGAAATTAATTGACCGACTAAAAATATATATACAAAAAATTAGCTGGGCATGGTGGCGCATGCCTGTAGTCCCAGCTACTTGGGAGGCTGAGGCAGGAGGATCACTTGAGCCCAGGAGATTGAGGTTGCTGTGAGCTAGGCTGACACCACGGCACTCACTCTAGCCTGGGCAACAAAGTGAGACTCTGTCTCAAAAAAAAAAAAAAAAAAAGAAAAAGAAAAAAAAAGAAACAAACATGGGGGTATCAGGAAGCCAAATGCAAAACCAAACCTATGTTTTCAAGGTGGAATGTCTGCACCCAGAACCCCCAAGTGCTTGGGACCTGTGGCTCTCCTTTAACAAGCCTGCGGCGCAGGAATGCAGACTCAAGATCAGCGGCTTGCCTCAGGTTACACACAGCCTGTAAATGGCAGAGCTGAGATCCTCAGCCACTGACCTCAGTGCTCAACACTCGCCACTGCACATCCTGCTACCTTCCTGCCCCCCCCCCCCGAGACTCCGCCTTAGGAAGCCACAGGTTTCTCCCATACTGGGGGGACAGTCTGTGATGGGTCTCAGGCCAGGCTAGAGAGAAAGTGAAGGGTACCCACAGGGGACCCCTGCACTGGGCCTTCAGGGCCTGCAGGCTGGGTTTCACCCTTCCTCCAGGAGGGACTGTCTTTGTTGGGGTGTGTTTGGCTCTGAGGAGCAGGAAGCTACTGAATCCTGCTCAAACCAAAGGATATAACTTGGGAGCAGCCAAGAACAGTAATGAAATTGAAGTTGGGGCTCAGGGCTCCCCTCTCTCACCTCCACTACCCTCAAGCCTCTGTCTCTTCCTCTTGACTCAGTTTCCCCAGGTGCTGCCCTAGCAGGGACTCTGCCACCTTCCAGTTCAAACCCCCTAGGCCTCTCTTTCTTTCTCAGCCTGTGTCTCAAAGCCACTGGGTCACTGGGACACTAGGTCAGGGGTCTAATCTGGCCCAACTGGCAGGAAGCAGTGTCAGTGAGAAGATAGTCATGTTCAGTGCAGGGCCTGAGGGACAGAATAAGGGTCTGATCAGCAGAGGCCAACCCGAGACCGGGACAGGTTTGTATCTAGCCTGCATTTAGATCTGGATGGCTCCAGACAAGCCACTTCCACGCTCGGAGCCTGTTTCCTAACTCACAGCTGTGGGATGGTGCCTTGGTTTACACAAGGATCATGGTTCATACATGGGGAAACGGAGGCTCCAGGAGGGAAGTGGTTGTCTAGGCACATGCAGTGACAAGAGGAGGGGCCTGTCCCACAGCCTCTGCAGCACAGTTGGTAGAAATGGATTCTTCTCCCCTCCGTGTCCCCAGAGCCCTTCTCTATCTTGCCTGCTTCCCATAGCAGCCATCTGTAGCCCCCGAAGAGCAGCATTCGGATTTGAGGGCTTTGAGGGGCCTGTGAGCAAGGGCAAGCTGCTCTGGGCTTTTGGGGAGACCCCAAGGAATGCAAAGGAGCCCCTGCTGCCCTCCCTGAAGCTGGGTGCCCTGGTCCCGCACAGTCCCACATGGGAATATCCTCTTGAAAGTCCTGCTGCCTGTCGAGGCAGGTGAAGAGCTGCGGCTCTACAGCCACACAGATCTGGTCCACACCTCCCGCCAGCACTCAAGCTACACAACCCTGGGCACCCCCGGCCCAGAGCTCGTCTGTGAGTGGGATAATCCCGCCCCTGTCTCCACGAGGACCTGTGAGGGGTGGAAGGGATGAAGCCGTTTGTCCTGGCAGCTGGTAGTGGTGTGCCTTCCTGCGCCCTGGCCCCTCTGGGGTGTGCAGTCCTCTGCATCCCACCGCGGCCTCCCCAGGCCTCGCTTGGTCAATCCCTATCCCTCATGGACACCCCTCACCCGCCAGGGGAGGTGGGAACCATTTCCTGGTGGTCTTGGAGGAGGCGTAGACAGATTTTCAATCCCCATCAGCTGAGCTCTGAGAAGGGTCAAGGGTGCTTTTGTTTTTAAAAATTATTGTTGTTGGCCGGGCGCGGTGGCTCACGCCTGTAATCCTAGCACTCTGGGAGGCCGAGGCGGGCGGATTGCTCGAGGTTGGGAGTTCGAAACCATCCTGAGCGAGACCCCGTCTCTACTAAAAATAGAAAGAAATTAATTGACCAACTAAAAATATATATACAAAAAATTAGCTGGGCATGGTGGTGCATGCCTGTAGTCCCAGCTACTTGGGAGGCTGAGGCAGGAGAATCGCTTGAGCCCAGGAGTTTGAGGTTGCTGTGAGCTAGGCTGATGCCACGGCACTCACTCTAGCCTGGACAACAAAAGTGAGACTCTGTCTCAAAAAAAAAAAAAAAAAAAAAAAAAAAAATTATTGTTGTTTCTTATTGAGGAAAACATATTGGAAAACTGACAAAGTCCGCCAAAGAATATAACTCCTGGGCAGCCCAGATCCCTAGTTTCTCAGGAAACAGAGGGGGAGCTGCTTCCTTGGCTGGTCCACTTTCTGTCCACAACCCTTCCTGGAGAAACCCTGTCTAAATGTCCCCAGGTTTGGTCATCGGCCCGAAAATCCCCCTATCGGCAATTCCTGCCCTGCAGTTTGGGCTATTCAGAAGTGATTTGCAGGCTCCAGTAGGTGTCAGAATCACCAGAGGCAATTGTGACAATTCCTGGGCCCAGGCTAGACAGAGAGCATCTCATTCAGCAGTTCGCGAGGCTGGGATCTTTAACCATGTCCAGGGATTGAGATGAGTTGCGGGCCACTTGTAGCCATTTGGCGGCCTGGCCACCAGAGGGCGCCGCGGGCCAGTCTAAGCGGTCCTTCTGTAGGGTCTTGTTCCACCAGACAGGTTGCTGTCACGAAGGGCTTGCTGGGCAGACTACAGGAGAGGGGTGGGTGTTTCCCAGTGAGCTGGAGTTCCTGCAGGGGACGGAAGCTCGATGACAGGAAAGAAGATCACGGCACACACTGGGCACCTGGCTGGCCCTTGGTCCTTGTGCACCTGGATTCCAGAACTGAAAGGCCAGGGCCCTGCCTGGAATCTGGGTCGACCTGTCCTGCTCTGGGACGAGCTATTTATGCAACTCTTCTGGGTGGGAAAACCAAGACCCAGAGAGGGGCAAGGGCTCAGTGACACCTGCTCTGTCTTCCAGCCCAGGTCTCTGTCCTACCAGGGCTGGGGACAGGGGGTGGACCCCAGGAAGTGCAGTTGTGAGTCAGCTGTGGGCGCCCAGAGGACGGGACAGGGGCTGCTGGCTGGGGATGGATGCTGGCTGGCAGTGCCCTGCTCCTCCAGCTGTGGGTAGCCTTGGTGATTCAGCTTCCCTCTGCCGGCCCAGAGAGGATGCCACTCTGGGCTAGGAGGTGGCTGAGGATGCTAGGGCTAGGGAGGGGCAATGGAGGGGCCTTAAGGATTCCCATGGTCCTCCTCTGCCGTTGCCTAAGTCCTATGAGATCACTGTGGCCAGAGACCAGGTGGGCCTGAGACCGGTCCTGGGATGGGGGGCTGTGGGCCCTTGTTCAATGCCCAGCTCCTTTAAGCTAGCTTGGGCTGTCGTGCGGGATACCCCAGTGTCTCCAGCACTGTAAGTTGGTCCCCATGGGGGCTCTCCTTGGCGCTGAGCAGGAGATCAGGAGGGGCCTGATCTCCCCGTTGCGGGGACAGACAAGCTGACCACTCCAGCTGGGGGGGCTCTAATGGGCAGACGCGCAGGCCGGGGGCGGAGCTAATGGGGAATGCCAGGCTGATGGGGAGGGGCAGTGAGCGGTGGCATGGGGGCGGGGCGAGACATCCCACCCGGCTCGGGGGCGGGGCCTGGCCGGGACGGTGCCGGGGGCTCGGCCCAACTTTCCGGGTGGGGCGCGGGCGGTGGCGGCGGAGGTGGGGCCGCGCCCGGCGGGCCGGGCCTGGGCTGGAGCCTGGCGGGATTCCCTGCCGGAGCCGCAGCCGCAGCGAGAGCCGCAGCCGGAGCCTCCGGGAGCCGGAGCTGAAGCACCGGCGCTGCCGAGCCGAGCCGAGCCGAGCCGAGCTCGCCGCCTGGCACCGGCTGGCGCGCGAGCCGGCGTGTCACCCTCACCGCCTGGGTACTGGCGGAAGCAGCGAGCCGCAACCCCTCGGGCTCCCCCGGGCGCGGAGCCCTGACCGCCTCTGCTAGGCCTGGTCACGGCCTGAGCACGCAGGAGTTCCGGGGGTCTGGATCCCCACCCTAACGGACTGGGGACCGAAGAGAAAAAGGAACGAGGATTCCATCTTAACAGCACAGCGTGGGCACTAGGCGCGGAGGAGAGTGGAGACCTCACCTGGCACGGGCCAGAGGTGCACGGAGCTTATTAGGCCGGGCTTGAGCATCGGAGAGCCTGGCACCTCAGCAGCCACGACCTTGGCTCTGCCCTGTCTGAGCCGACAACACTCCTCTCAGCTCCCAGACCTCGGCTGGCACAAGTAAGCGGTGCTTTCCCTGTCTGAGCCTGGGGACAGGATCTGAGGAACCAGGATCTGGCGGGGGGCCTAGAGCTGGTCACTGGGCAGCCCGCCTTCTGCCCCAGTCCCACTGGTGCGGATGTGCCACTGCCCGCTGGAGCACCATGACGGCAGGATGACCTCAGTTGAAGCAGCAGCAGCAGCTGGTGGTGCTCGGGTGGCTAGGCCCCTTGAGTGGCCTCGGGGCAGCCCCCAGACCCTTGGGCAGCCTGGCCAAGCCCGGGTGGCCGTGGCAACACTGGTGTGGCTGCTGGCAGGAGCCAGCATGTCAAGCCTCAACAAGTGGATCTTCACTGTGCACAGCTTTGGGCGGCCCCTGCTGCTGTCAGCACTGCACATGCTGGCGGCAGCGCTGGCATGCCACTGGGGAGCCCAGCGACCCATGCCAGGTGGCACCCGCCGCCGAGTGCTGCTGCTCAGCCTCACCTTTGGTACCTCCATGGCCTGTGGCAACGTGGGCCTGAGTGCTGTGCCCCTGGACCTAGCACAGCTCGTCACCACCACTACACCACTGTTCACGCTGGCCCTGTCAGCGCTGCTGCTCGGCCGTCGCCACCACCCACTACAGATGGCTGCCATGGGCCCCCTCTGCCTGGGGGCTGCCTGCAGCCTGGCTGGAGAGTTCCGGGCACCTCCCACCGGCTGTGGCTTCCTGCTGGCGGCCACCTGTCTGCGAGGTCTCAAGTCTGTTCAGCAGAGTGAGTGCCTGGGTCACTGGCTGAAGAGGTGGGGGTCGGGGCAGGTGTGTGGCCTTGATGGCCCTGTGAGGGGTATGGCTCTTATCCCATTTTGCAGATGAGGAAACTGCCACCTGGCTTCGGAGGAGGCAGAAACTGAGGCTCAGCAAGGGTCAACAGCTCAGTGAGTTCCAGGGCCCAAACTGAGGCTCTGGAGGCCCAATCAGTATTCGATAGCAGTTGCCAGTGATCTGTGTCCCATACTTTGTCAAGCCCTTTGTCTCTCAGATCCCCCTACTGCCCCTGATCAAGGTAGGTACTATATTGTCCCCATCTGATAAAGAGATGCAGGGGCTTGCCGTGAGCCATGTGGCCAGAGAGCAGCAGAAGCAAGATTTGAACTAGGCAGTCAGACTCCTGTTGTCCAAGTGATGTAGAGAGGAAAAAGAGCGAGAGCCAGGCCTTGGGCTGGGGTTTGGAAGGCAAGGGCTTCAACTAGGACTGGAAAAACTGATGTTTACTGGGAGCTACAGTGTGCTGAGTGTTGAACTTGAGTTGTCATGGCAACCACCACCTTCATCCCCATTTTACAGATGATGGGACTGAGACCCAGAGAGGTTCATGATTTGCACATGGTCACATGGCTCCTACGGACTTGAAGCCTGGTCTGTGTGACTCCAGACACTGGCTCTGATGAAAGGGGGCTGTGGGGCTCTGGGCAGGGTAAGGCCAAGGCTCTAGGCCTAGAGCTTGCTAGATCATTCTGCCTGAGGGTGGAGGCTGGCTTTCTGCCTGTCCTACTAAGGGGCATCTGAGTCACAGCCCCCACCCTCTCTCCGCCTTAAACCAAGGAAGGCATGGGGGAGGCCAGGGCGCCCACTTGGGGTGAGGAGGTCTGCATTCCAGCCGTAACTTTGCTCATACTTGCTGGCTGACCTTGGGCATGTCTGATCTTATCTGAGCCTCAGTCTCCCCATCTGTTCAGTGGAGGAGGGTCAGAGTTGATGGAGTCCAGAGGGCCTCCTGCTCTCCCCTCTTGCTCCGAGATACCATGATGCAGGCCTGAGAGAAGGAAGGGGAATTCTGGGGGTGCTTGGCTGGGGTTGGGGGCAGCTAGTAGCCAGAGAAGCTTGAAGTCAGAGTCCAGCCCTGCCCTGGAATCTTTAGAGCTGGGACCCAGAGGCCCTGTCCCCATCCTCCCAGGCCATGGGGCAGGGCCAAAGCCCAGTTCTATTTTTGCCCACAGGTTACATGAGAGCTGGGGACTGAGCTGGGGCATGACTCTGGGCATGAGTCGGCACTGGGAAACCTGACTCTGTGGGGCCCTCCTGGGCAGGGCCATGAGGCTGTGAAGGCCCCAGCGTCGAGGCCCACACTGCGCCTCCTGAGGCCAGCGCTCTTCACACAGGGACCCAGGCAGCCCGGCCTGCAGGAGAGGCTACAGCTGGCCAGGCCTCCTACACGTGGGCAAAGAGTGGCACGTGCCTGGCATCTGGCCACTTCTTGGCTTCTGCCGGCTCCCTCCTTCCCTCCCAAGCCTCAACTGCCTGACTCCTGGGCAGGTCGGGAGTTTGCTCTGGGCTCCCACAGCCTCTCTGCTTCCCCCATTGTGGCTCTGGAGGCCCTGTCTCATCCCATGTGGTCACCTGTCTGCTTCCCACAGGTAACACCTTGGGGCAATTCTGTGTCCCCAAAACCTCACCTGGGGGCCTTGCACAGAGCAGTACTCGTTAAATGATGACAGCTCTGACGGCCGGATTGATGGGCTGGTTAGACTGCGTGGCTCAGGGTGCTAAGGAGGGTGCTTAGAGGCTGGAGGTCCCGCTAACAGAGATGCAGAGACAGAGAGGAACAGACTGGAGCCAGGGGCTGAGATGGGTTTAGAACAAGAGCAGGTTTCTACTGCCAGGGGCTCCGGGAGAGGGCCAGCCACAGACCAGAGTGTAAATGGCGGACGCCGGCTCCCTTCCTGAAAGTGGAGTCTGTGGGAGCAGAAGGCAAGAGTCCAGGAAGAGAAGAGCCCAAGCAGCTGTGGGCAGGGCTGGTGGTTCCCCTTCTACGTGGGCTAGTTGCAGGGGAGAGGGGCAATGCCACCTTCCTACCCACAGCGCGGCTGGGAAGCGGGGTGCCAGCTTGCTGAGCCCATTCTCAGCGGGCCCCATGTGTGTCACAGAGCAGCATGGCTCTGATTCTGGCCTCTGAGTGCTCAGGCTGGATTGGGGAGACCACAATGGGTGAAGGTCTAGAGCCAAGGGAGTCACAGGTATGGTGGGCACAGTTGCTTCTTCCTGGGGAGCCCTGAGAAGGCTGCTTAGGGGACAAGGTGTGCAGTGATGATGATAACAATGACGCAATCATGACAGCGGGCACTTGTGGAGGCCCCCCCAGGTGCCCATACTGACGGAGCAGGAAGGGTGCTGTGGGTCTGAGAAACAGGCCGTGCCGGGGCACGGGGTGTCAGCCAGCAGGAGCGGAGTGTGAGGGTCATGCCAGCTGCCAGGTGAGCAGCTACCACTGGGCATCAGGCTCTGTGTTCAGCACGTCACATGCCCCTGTGAGGGGGGTGTTGTTGCCCTCCCCCATGGCACACAAGGAGACTGAGGCATGGAGAGAGGGTGACTTGCCTAATGTCACACAGCTAGTGAAGGAGCAAAGGGGAGAAGGCAGTGGAGTGGACGGGGTTTGCAGAAGGGTCAGTTGCTGGCTGCAGGTGGCAGAAGCTTGATTCTGATGGAAGGGGGCGGGGATTAGCAGGATAGGGGGCGCTGAGGAGGCAAGAGGACAGGCTGACATTTTGGGAGCCCCAAGAAGGGGTGAGTCACCCCTGATAGTGGATCAATGCCCTTTCCCTGGGCTGCAGGGAGGGGAGGTGGAGGGCTGGGTGGCATGCACAGCAAGCCAGGGGATGGATGGGGAGGTTAGAACCTTCCTGCCTGGCTGCCTTGCAGAGGGTGAAATTCACCAAAGGGGAAGTTCACCTGAAACCCCAAACGCCTTCCTGGAACGGGACCTTCCACATGCAGGCCACACGCAGCTCATAACAGTGCTAAATTTGGAGCCAACGAGCAGGAGGTATTCTGATTATCTGTTCATTTCTAGAAACACTTATGCTGGAGGAACTGTTGCCTAGAGAACAAAGCCAAACATCAGAATGAAATCAAGAAAGAAGTAAAATGTCCTATTCTAAGCGTAGCCTATGAGTAAGCATCCCTTTGGCTCCTTGGAAAGTGTGTGTCAGAAAATGCAGAGATTCAGAGAGCCCTGGGAGGGAGCCTGTATTCATTACTCATCCCTCTCCACGAAAACTTGGAGTGGGTCCCACGCCATCATTGCCCTTGTGCAAATACCGTCAGTCACCTGGGCTGTATGTGACTGTGATCGCTTCTCCTTTGTGAATTGGTGGGTGGTAGCACATGGACTCACAGGCACACCCGGGCACACGTTCAAGCACATGCATGACGTCAGGGTTCCTCTTTCCTTGCAGAGGTAAAAGGTTTCCTCTTAGTCCTGGATTCATCTCCACCATGTCCCAGTGTTGGTTGCAAAAAAATGCTGATTATCAGTTATAAACAGTGCGTGTTAGCCAAGAGCCCACAATGACTTTCTTGTTTCCTTGTCATTCCCGGGGTCATAAGCGAATGAAGCAATGAATGGACCAACCATTTTGACTCAAACAATTTATTATTTGAAAACTCTTCCTCTTCTTCTTTTAACGTAAAGGCCACATAGCTAGTAAGTGGCAGAGCGAGGACCCTCTGCTGGCCCCTCCCTGCTATGGGGGCCGGAACTGCAGTGTGGGGTTCTGGTGGGGATGATAAGGGCCGAGGCCACAAAAGGTGGTCAGGACCACCGGGTGCAGGGTCTTCACGGCTGTTTTAAGAATCTAGGACTTTTTCCTCCAGGGCTGGGATAGCACCTGAAGAATTTTTCTTTTCTGGAGGCACTTTTTGTGTTTGTCGATCCTTTGGATCTCCCAAGCAAGATGATTGTTTCAGCCCGTGGGAGATGGCTTGTAGTAAGAGACTTATTTATTTATTTTACATTAACTGAGAATTGGCCTTATAAGGATATGTTCTCTCTTAAAATCTTGACAACAACCCATGTGTTAGGCTTTACGATTATCCAACTTTCTACATGAGGAAACCGAAGCTTCCAGAGGCTTCCCGTGCCTCTTGTTGAGAGACCAGGTCACAGCTAATCAGAAGTGGACACAGGTCACAAACGTAGGCGGTTTGACTCTGATGCTTGACTGTTGCGTTTCAGAGCAGGAGCCACTAACCCTGGCCGAGGGATCGGGGTAGGCTTCTTGGAGGATCGGCCATGGAGGTCGTACTGGGTTGGCCGAGTGGCAGTTGTCTCCCCCTGGGTGCTGATGGTCGCTGTCCTGGTTGCAGGTGCCCTGCTGCAGGAGGAGAGGCTGGACGCGGTGACCCTGCTCTACGCAACCTCGCTGCCCAGTTTCTGCCTGCTGGCGGGCGCGGCCCTGGTGCTGGAGGCTGGCGTGGCCCCGCCGCCCACTCCTGCTGACTCTCGCCTCTGGGCCTGCATCGCGCTCAGCTGCCTGCTGTCTGTGCTCTACAACCTGGCCAGCTTCTCCCTGCTGGCCCTCACCTCTGCCCTCACCGTCCACGTCCTGGGCAACCTCACCGTCGTGGGCAACCTCGTCCTGTCCCGGCTCTTGTTCGGCAGCTGCCTCAGTGCCCTTAGCTATGTGGGCATCGCACTGACTCTTTCAGGAATGTTCCTTTACCATAACTGCGAGTTCGTGGCCTCCTGGGCTGTCCGCTGGGGGCTGTGGCGGAGGGACCAGGCTGGCAAGGGTCTTTGAGACCTGGAGGGGCCACGTCGGCAGCCCCAGACTGAATCTAACCTTGGCCAGTGGCCACGGGAAGGGTGGACAACAGGCAGCTGCCGCTGCTGGGGCCCATGGGAGGGAGAGGCACCTTCTGGAAGGGCTGCCTTGGAGGCTGGAACAGGGACTCCCAGAGAGACCTACCTCCTGTCCCTGCCCACCTCACCCCCAGTGCAGACCCTCCTCACCACTGGATTGTGGGTCCAAGCTTGGCACGGTCACCGTGCTCATAGGAGTAATTATTAGGATCAGTATCAGCTACTATGCCGAAAATTGCTGGGCAGACTTTGAAAACCTCAACGTGTTATAATAACGATGATGATGATTCTTGGCGGTTGAACAATCCTTTCTCGGGGGGAGGCAGCTAGGGGGCCCAGGGGAGGGTTTCTTTGCTGCTGGGCTCCCCTAGGGAGTTGGGGTGGTCTGTGCCAACTCCTGGCAGCTGCTGTGGCCTCACCCCTGGGTCCCCCAATTTTGGGTCATCCGTCCTCAAATAAACTATTTTTGCTTGTACACCTGTGTCATTCCTTGAGGGCACAGACAAGGGAATATAGGGAGAGCAGTGGGCCACCCACGCTGGCCACCCACTGTGGCCAGTGCAGCCCCCCGACCCAGCCCCTCTGCTATGCCCTGGCCCCTCAACTCCATCTTCCATGCCGCCCCCTTCTCGCAGAGGGATCTTTCTAAAACACACACACTCTGTGGCTTCTTCCTGCTCATGGGACAAAGTCAGAACTTCCTTCCCTAGACTACAAGTCCCTCAGGACCTGGCCCTGTGGCCTTACCCAGCTCTCCCTTCTCTTCCCCCTGGGCTCTGCCTTCCAGCCTCAGCGACTTCCTCCAGTCCCCACGATGCCAGGCCCACCCACTGGAGCCGTTGCAACTTGGTCCCCTCTTCCTACACATCCTCCCCTCTTCTTGTGACTAAACCCTTGCCTGAGGGAGAAAAGCCAAACACAGCACCTCTCTTGACGGGGACTTGAGGGGCCACCCCTAGAGCTAGCCCAGAGCCTCCTGATTGGCTGGCTGCCCTTGCCTTTGTCATGTGACCTCTCTGAGGCTTTCCCTGGCTCTATCCACTTAACTCCCTCCATCCAGTTACCTCCCTTGAGACCACTTGTTAACAATCCTAAGGACCCAGCCTGGAGTGGGGAGACCTGGGACTAATCCTGTTCTGCCCACCTCACTGTGAACCTCCCCTGAGCCTGAGCCTCAGCTTCCAGGTCTGCAAAATGGGTTGATGATCCCCGTGGAGAGGATTCGAATGAGGAGCCTGGTGACCAGGGCCACGAGTGAGGAAGGAGGTGAGATTGCCAGTTAGCTCTGTCCCTCTTGTGGGCTAGTTACCCATCCTCTCTGAGGTTCCAGATCCATCTGGAAAATATCCCCTCTGTGTGAGGATGGGGCGTTAGACCAGGCTGGGGCTGGGTTTAGGGGGACTGGGATTCAGGGAGGAATCATTCATTCCTTCCCGTAACCAGAATTCACAAAGGACCACTGTGCCAGCCAGTGCTAGGCGGGGCTGCGTGTAGGGTCAGCTCAAGGCTGGACGGGGAGGTGGGAAGAGAAGGCCTTGGAGGACAGGCACAGGGCTTCCCGGCCCCAGGCTCCACCCAGGCTGGCCTTGCAGGAGGGGAAGTGGGCCTGGGCTGAGTCACCCGCCACCACTCTCCCTATGACTCAGAGATGCCACTAGCCCAGCCCAGTCCCTGTGCAGCTTGGGTACCTCCGGACTCAGGCTTTGCCAGGCAAGACAGAGGGTTAGATGGCTTTGGTTAGGCAGAGCCTCCTCGGTGACTCAGGACCCTTCTCCATCCGAGGGGCCCACTGCCATGCAGTACGAGCCTCCTGCGCCACCGCCACCCGGGCTCCTGGGCCTCGCATTAGGCTAATGAGTGAGCTTCCTGTCAGGTCAAAGCCTGTCCCTGGTGGTTGTGGGGACAGGGTAGGGGAGTAATTGGAGCTGTGCTTGATCTGGGAGCTGTTGTGTCACCAGATTCAGGACCATTAGGCATTGAGGTGATTTCCTAATGCCACAGCCAAAGCCCTTCAGAGAGCACTGGACTGGGAGTCAGGAAGCCTGGGTTTGAGTCCTGGCTCCTCCTGCTCACATTGTAACCTCAGGCTGGTCTCTCCTGGCCTGACAGTGTGGTTGGGAATGAGGACCACAGTGATAACTAGAAGGGAGGGCTCAGTGAGTGTCCCATTGAAAGGTCATCATCGGCCGGGCGCGGTGGCTCACGCCTGTAATCCTAGCTCTCTGGGAGGCCGAGCCGGGCGGATCGTTTGAGTTCAGGAGTTCGAAACCAACCTGAGCAAGAGCGAGACCCCGTCTCTACCATAAATAGAAAGAAATTAATTGGCCAACTAATATATACAGAAAAAAATTAGCCGGGCATGGTGGCACATGCCTGTAGCCCCCCTACTCGGGAGGCTGTGGCAGTAGGATTGCTTGAGCTCAGGAGTTTGAGGTTGCTGTGAGCTAGGCTGATGCCATGGCACTCACTCTAGCCTGGGCAACAAAGCGAGACTCTGTCTCAAAAAAAAAAAAAAAAAAAAAAAAAAGAAAGGTCATCATCCCTCCAGGCTCTGCTTCTCACAGCTCTGTTGCCTGAGGGAAGTCTCTTTACCTCTCTGCGCCTCAGTCTCAGTCAGCACCCGGTCCCTGCTGGGAAGACTTTCTTTGGGACAACAGGTGTCACCTTCCTTGGGAAGCTCTCCCCTCCCCCATTCCCGCCCCACGCCATGCCAAGCTAGGTTCCAAGCTCCAGCTAAAGGTGACCCCAGCTCCCTGCACCTCTCCAGGCAGAGCCCTGGTCACATCCCACCTTCAGAGCTGGATTATCCTCTTTCTTTTCCACCAGGCTGGGCTCCAGGAGGGCTCGCTGTGGTCTCCCCAGCCCCGGCCCAGAGTCTGGCATGGAGTAGGTGGGAGAAAATACAAGTCAAGAACAGGAGCTCTGGAAGCAGACCTGGGTTCCAATCCTGGCTTTGGTCATGTTCAAGCTATGTGACCTTCGGCAAGGCTCTTCCCCTCCTGCGCCTCCATGGATTAAGTGCGTGTAGCAGTAGAACCTAACTGCAGGAAGTTAGGTTCCTGCACCCCACTGTAGGAAGCTGTAATTGGCCAAGGCATCGGGAATGCTTGGCGACAACACCTGAAACATAGTGGGCCTTCAATCAATGTTAGCAAATGGCCTCTCATCACAAGTGGTTCCAGCTCCTCCCCGAGGCTTCCTAGTGTCCACCCCCACACCTCTCCTTGGCCTTCCACTGCATGCCGAGAGTCCCCAGGGCATGGGAATGGCCCTGCGGGAAGCCGGGTAAGCTGGCTCTGTGCTGGGCATCCTGCCATTGTAGACTTCAGAACAAAGCCTTGTCTCAGCCCCAGCTGCCAGGCTGCCCCTCCCGCCCTCCCCTGGTGGCCCTTGGATTGTCATTCCAGGGAGCCAGGGCAAACAAGGACTTTTCTTGCTCCCCACTCTGCCCTCAAATCAGTTCAGGAGGTCAGCTCCTCCATCACTGCCCTTTTCCTGCTCAGCTGCAATCACTTCCTGGAAATAGCACAAAATACTTAACTGAGGGCCACTTCATGGAAAGCCATGGAAGGTTTTGAGCAGGAAAGAGCCATGATCTTCAATGAACATTTCTTGACCAATAGACCTTCAGTTTAGTCTAGATCCTACTCTGAACTAAAATAAAATTTTAAGGCTCACCACCCACTCCCCATGGCTGACTGAATGGACCCCCTCGTGGCCAAAGGAATATCCTAAAACTAAATTGCCTGCCAGGAGAAGGGAGGTCAGACGTGCCTCATCATGCCACCCTCCCTTCTTGGGGACATCCTTTGTAATCCGTTAACAGGCCTAACGGTATTCAAGATAAACCTTCAGGTCCTCAATGTACACAAGAACTATATGTCCTGTGGCTTATCTCTGATTAAGAGCTTCTTATCTTAAAATATTCCAACCCTCTAGACAAAGCTTCATGTCTTTAACCAATTACAAGTCAAAGAATTTTTAAACCAATCTATAACCTGTAAGCCCCCCTCCCTTGATGGTCCACCTTTTCCGGCCAAACCAATGCATGCCTCCCACATATTGATTTGTGACTTTACCTGTACCCCCTGTCTCCCTGAAATGTATAAAACCAAACCATAACCCAGGCACAGTGAGGCCACTTGCTCAAGACTTCTTGAGCATGGCTCTAGGCCATGGTCCTCAAATTTGGCTCAGAGTAAATCTCTTTAAAATTATTTTACAGAGTTTGCCTTTTTCCCCCATTAGCACTACATGGAGGAAACAATTGGAGAGGCTTGAGATAGGAGGCAGGGAGACCAGAGAAGACCTGTTGTTGTGGTCCAGCTGAGTAGATGACAGTGGGGACAGTGCTGGGGGCAGAGTGGGCATCAGTCGTATTGATTTGGGGTAACAGTTTATCCCAAAACATTATGGTTTTTGTTTTGTTTTTTTCTTTGTTACTTTTTTTTATGTAAGGGGGAGGTGATGAAGGGGGTCCAATTTCCTTTTTTTTTTT